ACATTTTTTTGCCGAGGGAAGCAGTCACATCATTTTGCCTGTGTTTTCATTGCAAGCCATGTGATTAGGTTGACATACGCAGAAAGATAAGGCCTGCATATGCTCTCTGTAGAGACAGATATGTTTTATGTCCTTCTGTTGATTAACTTGTGTGCAGTTTCCATCAAAGCAATCAAACACCAAACGACACTGCAAAAAGCGCCCACTCCCTCTGTGTTGCTCTGTTTGCCATTTTATCTCCATTGTCAGTATGCTTGTCAAAGCCTATGCTGACTGACTCTCTTTCCCTGAGTTTGAGATGAAGTATTGTTTTAATACTGACGGCATTCTCTTGGCCCCTCTAATGGACAATGCCAACAGTTCCCAACTTCCTGAGCAAACCAGACAGACTGCTGTTTTCTTCTTGTCTCTTATCACTCCCTGTCACTGAAGGAAAGATCTGGATTCAGCTCCAATTTGCACTGATATACTGCAGTGTGGTATGAAATGGGGTGCACTGGCTATTCATCACCATTATCATCAATGTTATGTTTCTTGGGATCTGTGTGCCTTAGCTTTTGGGAGACATTAAACTGAAGATTAATAGGCAGGTTTGGGTTGAATGATGGAAAATGATAGGTTTACTTTTCCTGGTTTCTTACTGACTTAACACTGTCCTGGGAACATTTTAATGGGGTCTTATCCTAAGATGTGCTAAGTGTCAGTAGAGTCATGAAAAGCATGGATTGATTTAGAAGTTCAGTATTTTCAGAATCACTCCCTAATGCAAGTCATCTTTATTTCACAAACACACACACAGCACCATCCCAAAAATAGAGGCTGATTGATCTCTATGTTTTTGAACGTGAAAAGCTGTTTTGTTCCCATTAGGAAGTGGTCTAGCCTTTTACTGGAATAAAAACTACTTTGTATCTGTGTTTGTAGGAACTACTGGCATTTTCAGATCTTCAGGGTTGTTCATAAAAATTCTGCCTTCCTAAAAAAAGTTAGCCCACTTGCAATACATTAAAACAAATTTAAATGAGGAATCAAATTCACTGACATTCTTCTTTCTCTCTGTTATTGTACTTGTTCTAAAACTTTGCTTTTCTAAAAATAGTGATGAAATAGATGAAAACTGAATACAATTTGTAGATGCCCTTCTCAAATTCCTACTGCTGTTTAAGAATCGTTACCTGTAAGCTTCCCATTCCAGAATGAGAGAAGCTAAAATATATGTATGTAGTTTCATTTGCTTTTGATGAGTCCACAGGGCAAGAGATCTGTGGTGAAGCTGTGGTGCCTTATTTACAAATACGGGTACAAATATAGAAACATTTATGTAAATGAGATCATACTGAAGGCAAATAAAATACTCCTTTGGGAAGTAGCAGATCCACTCATAGAATGTCAGATCCCTTAGGAGCATGTTGTATAGACCCCTCTTAAGGCTGTGCCTCAATTTCAGCTAGAATTTCCCAGTTTATTATTTTATATCAAGCTTCAGATTGTCTATGCAATCTCTCTCTTACTTTGAAGGGCATTGCACCAGCAGTTAGTAAGAAACATTAATATTGCCCTGTGAAGTCCCTGGGTACCATCAAGTGATGCAGAGGACCAGGTCACAGTGACAGGCAAATTTGGGAACTGGGGCTGTTTATTTCCACAATCCATGGCAGGTTTCTAAAATATTACTTATAATTCTTTAGTGAACATCATCAATTCTTCTGTAACACAAATCTGATTAAAATTGTTGTACACCCTCCTAAAACCTTTACATAGGATGGGATGTAATTCTGAATAGATGTAACAACTTCTTCCCCAAAACAAAAGCTCTTCCTTAGACAGAACGTACTATTTGTTTAATAACCTTTTTAAACAAAAGTATGCTGTATACCAGCTTGCTGATGTATCTCTTTCTTTGCATGTTCCAGCTGATACAGCAACTCTCAAGAATATGTTTAATCTTAATACAAACAAACAAAACACAATCCTCCCCTTTTTGAAACTCTGCTTGCTAACAACTCCCTGGGCTTCTGCTATGAAGCTTTCAAATGCTCTGCTAAACAAAATTGAATTAGACAGTAATAAATTGCATAATGAAACCAGACCGTTCACCTAATGAGCTAAAATAAAAGCTATGATGACACCCAGAACCAGCACTCATAAAAGACGATATGTACATAGAAAATGATTTGCTTTTTTCCTCTACATTTGGTGCTTTATTGGTTCCTCAATGAAAAATATGCCGTCTTCTAAGTTTATAAAACTGAAATACCAGAAGATCAGTTCTAAATTGTGTAGCATTTGACACTAAACCTGCAATTACAAATTGGGAGGATGGTTTTTAAAAAGCCTTACTAGATAAACTCACACTTTCCCCTGTTGTAGAGAGATCATATCACAGTTAAGTGAATTTAAATCTGTGGGAGATTTGTACCGTAGTGTTAAACAGCAACAATTTGGCTGTTGGCTTTCAGCTGCTTTGCCAAGTCCTTGGTTTTCTATAGGTTAGTTTTCCAAGAACAGGTTGTAACTCACATTTTAAACTTACTGATTTTAAGCCTCCTTTTCCTAGTCACAGAACATAAAGGATATGGTGCATTTTCTTCTGCAGCATGCACTTAGAAAGCAAAACACTTCATTTTTTAAAATTTTTGTTTTGACTTTTGTTCAGCTACTAATTGGTAAAAAGCAACTATGTTGCTTTGGTGGTTTTGTTGAGCCCTGAGTGTCTACCTCCATACCAGGGTGAATTCTTCAGAAAGCCCCTTGCAGAGTTTCCTCTCCATCCCCTCCCCATCCCCAGCTATCATGCATATTTTTAGAGCCCAGTGGCAACAAAGCAAAAGCATTCATAGGAAAAATAAACAGTAACCTAGGCTGTGCTTTGAACACAAATTTATTTTATGTTGTATGCTAGCAGAAGCAGAAGAGTGACAGAACCACATTTGACTTGGTCAATCAGCATTTGAATTTGAGAACATTTATTCTAGGTGTGTGTTTTTTTAATTATTTCATTCTGGGATTTCATCCTCACTTCTTGTAAATGTTCTGTTCTCATTGTGCCTTAAGAAAGCAAAGTCCTGGCCCAGAACATCTGTCTGCTCTTGAGCTGCCATGCAGACTCCAGTTCAGACTGAATCTGGAAGCCAAATAGGTGCATATCTCATTTCATTGAACAATTTTAATAATGTCGTTGAACAGTGCTTTTGCTCCAAGTCCTCCCCTCCCCATTACCTTTTTCTAAGGTAAATGTAGTTACTCTGTTTTTCCTAGCACAAACTGCTTGCAGAAATACGAACTATTAACCTCTATGGCTGCAAAAGAAACCCCTCATGCATTTACTCAAGAGACCATTGAATTTTACCCATTACAATCTGACCTTGTGCAATTATTTTTACCACTAGATGGTAAGAAATAACTTATAGGTAATAACAAAATGAATCTTTGACCATGTTTCCAGTGAGGTAGTCAAGTTAGTCTGTCTTGGTATGTTGATAGAAATAAAAAGGGGGCATACAGCAAAGAAAAGCAGAGGGGGAAAGAAAGGATGGAATGTTGTGACACCTTAAAGACTAACAGATTTGTTTCACTTTTGTGGATCAAAAGCTGCTTCCTCAGATTTGTTTGCAACACTCACAAATGCAATGCCTTTTACAGTATATTCAAAAATAAGTCCTACCACAGCCCACTGGCCAGATCCTAAATGTGTTTAGGATTGTAGCCTTAAACTGGATTTTGCGGTCCCTCCATCAATAAATAAATAGGTTACAGTGGATAGAATTTACACATCTGTTTATACACAGCTTGGCTCTACTTGCGGCTGGTATCAGCAAAATTCTGAAGTAACATGATACAATTTTTCCTGTGCAACTGGCATCACTTTCAAAAAGTGTATTAAGACTTATCTGAAGTATAGGAATGCTCATTTGAAGTCCTTTCCTTCAATACCAAAATGCATCAGTTATGTGGGTGGCCCATAACAAAGACTGTGGTGGTATGTTGGTGTGTGTGTCTGTGTGTGTGTATGTGTACATTCCGTCTTGGTAGGACAATAGCTCAAACAAATGTGTTTTGTTATGTTTTTGTTAATGATGTTAAGGACATATTTAATTGTCTGTAACTGTGGATTGAATGATTAAAGTCTATCAATCAAAACCTTTTTAAAATATTGTGTCCTTTGTTCTATTTGAATTAGCAGTATTTGCAAGGAAATTATATAATGTTCTTGTAGTCTTCTTGAGATCGTTTGTGACCATTTTTCCCTTTATGAAGCAAAATCATTACATAAATCCTACAAACCTCCTAGTCCTATTTTTTTTTAAAAAAAAACACAACACCTAATTGTTTCAATTGTAAAATTGTGTTTCTTAACTGTGGGGTTAATCTGCAGTATCTTTTAGTAGTCAGATAGATTGTAAGTAAAGAAAATTGCAGTGTCACATGTACTTTTCAATTTATTTCTATACTTTAACTGTGGAGTAGGAATGGAGGCAGGTGAAACAGCTCTTCCAGTAGCAGGCCTTGGGAAACTATGATAAAACAAGGTGTTCTGTATTCAGGAGTCATTAATTGTTCATATGCTGAACACTTTGTAAATGCAGGATGCCCTATACAGCTGATTTTAAATGCTGCCGCCTTGTGATTTGTAAGCCACAGCACTTTCAAGTGAAATCACAAAACTTGGGAAAGGGGGGATGAGGTGGTTTGAATTTCTGAGGATCATTAGCACTTTCCAGAAACTATGTGTGGATGGAGGAGGTTCTAATGAAATTGGAGGAAGGTGATGTCTATCATCAGTTTTGTAAGCATCATGTTGCTCTGCAGCATCTGAGGCAGACTGAAAAAGCTAAAGGGTTCATAGCTCAGACTGTGCTTCCATTCTGTTAAGGACAAATTGTTGAGCTCTGTGTGTGTGCATGGGCATGAAAGAGAGATGCTCTGCAAACATAAGGAAAAAAGGCACAAATAAAATATCTTGTTGGGTCTTTCTTTTCTTTTTTCTCCCCTTATTGTAGGATTTTCTTCAAGGTGACTGCACCAAAGCAAAGCAAAAACTCAACTGGAAACCCAAAGTCACTTTTGATGTAAGTTCTCTTTGTTTTGATTTGATTGCAATATGTTGCAGGTTGCTGGCCCAAGCATGTTTACTTGCAAGTAAGTCTCACTAAATCCAGCAGATCTTAATTCAGAGCAAAGCAGCAGAAGGCTCCTTTTCAGCTGGATCATGCCATACATATAGGAACTGTGTCCTATAGACACACACACACACACAGAGAGAGACTATTTCTTCTGAAATTTATAAAATGGTATAGGCATTGGTGATGGTGGGGATATTGTAACTATTTCAGTTTGTGCACACACAGCTAACACAACCAACATTATTAAACTAACCAAAATAAAGCTTTAGATTTTCTGTAGCACATTTTGCAGGCCAAATGCTGGGCCATGTGATATTCCCCCCAAAGGGAAGACTGTTACTGAGGATAAAGGGGTAAGTTAAAATGGATACAAGAAATGAAATGTGTAGATCTATCTCAGAAGATGATTAGAGTACCAATTAGAGAAAAACAAAATTTTGGCAGAGGGAGTTGGGTGATTTGGTGGGGAAGTAGCTTTCACTCGAAACAGAGAAAGTCATAACGTGTGTTTGTGTGTGTGTGTTGCTTCCTTCTGGCAGGAATTGGTGCAGGAGATGGTGAAAGCAGATGTGGCACTTATGAGGAACAACCCCAACGCATGAATCTGCTCCTTCTTTTTTTCCATACTCCTCTGTCAGCCAGACAGAACTGAAACTCCCAGAGATGAGCCCTAATTATGAATCACACCACTGACATTTTGGGGGTGGGGATGACAATCAGTTCAATGGGTGTTGGATGATTTGCTGCCATTTTATTTCTCTGTACTGTGCAGCAGGTGGTTTGTTTTTTAATAAAATTGTATTCTTTTTTACATAAACCTACTACCACACAGAAATTGTACTGTGCAGCAGGTGGTTTGTTTTTTTAATAAAATTGTATTCTTTTTCACATAAACCTACTACCACACAGAAAAAAACCCAAGAAAAATACAGTTACATATCATATAGTGCCACCATCACCCTCAGGGCTAGCATTAAACTTCATTCAATCCATTTTCCCTCCAAAAATTCATTGTTTCTTCCCTCAGTGTATACCCCTTCCCTCACCGAAATTCATATTCCAGGAATACACTCCATATTTTCCCAAAATCATTCATTGTTTCTTCCCTCAGTGTATACCCCTTCCCTCTCTGAAATTCATATTCCAGGAATACACTCCATATTTTCCCAAAATCATTTTTATTGATCTCTTATGTTCATATCATATGTCAGTTTATCATTAATTACCATATCCCATAATTCTTTATACCATTCCTCTAAGCTGAATTGATTATCATTTCTCCAGTTTCTTGCAAAAATTAATCTTGCAGCCGTAATCATTATTACTATTAAATCCTTATTTTCTTTCAACAATTGATCCTTCTTAACCAAATTCAATAAAGCCATTGACAGAGACGTGCAGCAGGTGGTTTTTCCTCCCTCTTACCAAATCTCAGCCATGCATCACAGCAAAGAGTAGGTTGAAATGGTGGTGGGTTTGCTTCTGATCTTTGACTTGAAGGTGAACACTAGACTGTCATTCCAGTTTATTCCATTCCTTTTTATATTCAAAGTAAAATTCCATAAATTAAATGCCTTCTTCATTCCGAGGGGATGGGAAAAAGGAAGGGAGAATTGTACTTGCTTTGCAGGGTTAGGGTTTATTAAAGATAAAATAAAATAAATCTCTGGGACTGATGGATTTTGCCACAATTAGGTTTCCATTACTCATAGCTATATTCGCCCATGTAAGTATATTTATGTCTGAATGTTACATGGTATCTTTAATCTCACAGACTGTCAATGGTTTGGAAATACCAGCATTCATTCTCTCTTGCACGTGCACGCGCACACAGAGAAAGAGAGAGAGAATCCACATGTGGATTACATACTATTCTGTTTCCGAAATAAGGAGCTTTTCACAGGAGGAATATAATATAGGAAGGGTTATTATATTCCAGAGTGTTTTACTTACAAGCTGCAGGCATTTCTACAGTCACACTAATATTATTGGTTGGTGGGTAAAGGAATGTACAGCAGGACAGTGTGTTCTGCCGCATGCCCTCTCCACCCCCAGAACCCTTTAAACCCTTGATAACTCCTACATACAGTGTACCACTAATTTGCCCTTTCCCTTTGCCACAATAAGCTGTATTTCCCTAATAGACCAGATACGTTTTGGTCCTTCAGCTCTCCCGCATCCTATTCTGTGCCTGCGCCTTTTGGGGGAGGGGTGGCGCAGCAACAAGCTTCTCTGTGCGGCACCCGAATTCCTGCACACAACCCAGCTATGCACATCTCATCCTGTTTCTGATTGCTATAATTAGACGTACAGTATAGGAGTGCGAAGCAGCCGCAAAAGATGGTTTTACAAAAGGTAGGGCGAGGAAAGCCCACATTTCAAGGGATGTAAATATTATTGAAACGTGGTGCCAGCGTTATGTCCCAGGCTGTGCAAGAAGAGCCCATGCATTTTCCCCGGTCCACGTAGACTTTGATCAGTCGCTCCTCGCTGTTCTTACGTCTTTCTCCGGCAAGTAAAGCCAGGATGGTTTGGAGCTTTTAACCCGTTCCCTCGACCACGTCCGCAGCAGAAGCCCCTCTTTTCTAACAGCTGACTGAGGACTAGCGGCTGCGGGTCGGCAGCCCGCAATGCCTGCACACCTCAGCCCTCAAAAGGGTTGAATAACGTTTAGGCCCGCTCCGCTCCCGCGGACCTGCTGGGCTTTGGAAGCAAGTACTGTACGTGGGGCTCCCATAACGGGAGAGGGGAGAGGGAAAAGGGGTCGCATGAAAGGGGGACGCGGGAGGCGAGGCGAGGGCAGGGCGGGCGAGAGGGGCAGCCGCCAGCCTTCGGGAGGGAGCCTCGGCGGGCCGGACCGGCGGCGAGCGAGACAGAAAGCGGGGGGCGGAGGCGGGAGGAGCCCGGCCTCGGCCCGAGCTGGGCTGAAGCTCCGAAGGGCACCTCTGGGAGGAAGCGCGCGAGGGCGGGCGGGGGCTCCCAACGAGGACCAGGTGCTTCCCCCCCCCGAACTGGTCCCGCAGCGACAGCAAGGCCGAGCGCCCCCTCCGCCGCCATCCCGGCCGCGGCCGGTCGCTCCGGGCTGCTTGGCGCAGGTGCAAGGGTGTGTGTGTGTGTGTGTGTGTGTGGTGGGAGAACCAGCGGGGTGCTTGTGTGGCGCGGAGCGGCGGCCGGCAAGTGGAGGCGACGGTTGCCTCCCGGCCAGCGGGCGAGCGAGCGAGCGAGCGAGGCGGACTCTTGGCGTCGGCGCTGCGCCGGAGGCCTCCGGGGGAAGGGAAGGGCCTCTCAAGGAAGGGGTCCTGGGCTCGCCGACGAGCCGGTTGCACAACAAGCCACTCGGCAGACTCCCTTCAGCTGCTCCAGGAGGATGGAGGGATGCCGAGGGCAGCTCGATCGGCTGCCGTTTCCCGCGCCGTCGCGATCGCCTTCTGCACAAAAAGCGTGTTTCTCTGCCGGCCTTTTGCTCCGCGCCTCTCCTCTCCAGCCCCCCGCCCGGGCCCGGCTCCGGCTCCGCTTGCCGGCGTCTCTCTCTCTCTTTCCGCGGCTCCCCAGGCCAGCCGCTTCGTGCTCTCGGCACACGTCAGCCGGAGCTTTGTGTCGCCCTCTTCCAATGGGGCGGGGGTGGGGGAGAGAAGGGAGACCGCGGCTCCACGAGTAAGTAAGGCCGGCCGCCTCCCCGTTAGGCCTTCCGGTTATTTTGAAAACTACTCAGCCCTCTTTTTTCCGTTTCTTTCCGTGAGGAGCACTTAAGACTTCAGAGCGGCGCTTAAGACTCCGTTGCCTCCTTTTTTTTTTTTTTTTGCTCCTGTTAAGGAACGCCTTAGTAAAAAGGCCGACTTCCTTTGGCCTGAATTCGACCCACCGGGGTCAGCGGAAAGCAGGAAGAGGGGTGTGGTGACCTCGCCCACTTGGAGGGCTTGCTGTCGGGGGAGGGGGGAAAAGGCTCAACCCCCACTTCTTCTCGGAAAGGACCTTCACCTCCGTGAAAGTGACTGGCTTCCAAGCAGAAGTGTCGGGGATCGGGTGCATAGGCCACACATCTGCACCGGCGGGTCCAGGGTCCTGTTGGTGAGACAGACCGGGAGAGGGGGGCGGAAAATTGAGATATTCTTCTGGTTACCCACCCACCTCCAAGAAAGATCGAGACATGAGGGAGCCCTGAGATATCGGCACAGAAGAAACTAAATCAGATTTTTGCAGACTTGATTTTCCAGTCCGAACCAAAGAATGTATACGGAGTTTTTATTATTGGGAAATGCACAACTTCATCACAACACCGTCGAAGTTCGTGATAACAACACTGATGCTTGCTTTTAAAAAAGGCCAGCGGTAGCACTAGCCGCCGCCGGAAGGCCTCTTGTGGAGGTCCCACGAAAAGGAGGAGAAACAGTGAAGCCCCGGGAGATGGAAAAGGTGGGAGGGGGGGTGGAGCAAGCGCGACCCCTTGGGAAAAAGCGTGGGGCGGCTGGCAGCCCCGGAGAGTCCGGCTCAAGGGAATTCCCAGCGAAAATACCTTTGCACGCAAAGGGGCTGCAGCGATAGGAATGCCCTGGGGTGGTGTGGGTGGAGGTGTGTCTTCCGTTGCCGTTGCCAGATCCACCTTTGGACTGATCTTTGGTCATCTAAGACTAGCAGAAGAGAGTCGCAACTTAAGCCCAAGAGTTCCACTGTTACTTTCAAGGGAAGTTATCCCAAGCCACTTTACTAGAATTGTGCCCGTTATATTTGCTCCCTCCCCCGCCTCCCGAAGAGTTCCCACTACGCACTGTGGACATTTTTTATTTTTTTTTGCTTTCCCCGCCCAGTCTCTTGTTTGGAGTAACTGCCTGTTTAATTAATTAAAATGAGCTGCTGTGCGAGCATAACCATCAGATGGCTGGCTTTTTATTAACCCAGGTGGCCCAGCCTGTAACCATCCCATTCCACTCGTCGATTCTTTTCTCGCCTTCCTCGGACAGTTTTGCAGAGAGAGAAGGAAGGCGTCTTTCCCCGCGGGCCGCCTTGAAGAGCCTGCCCGGCCCCCCCGACTCCCTGCCGTATCGTTAAACTTGCATGCTGAAGTTGAGCGTGGCAGGTGATGGCTCGAGCCTTGCAGCCGCTGTGTGTCAGTAAGTAAGATTGTGTCTGTGTGGGGATCCTGCCCGAGCCCGCCTTCCTGCTCAATCTGAAAGTGGCAGAACACGGTGGCCCTTTAGACGTCCCGAATGGATTTGTTTCATCTTCCACGGGCTAAGGCGTTGGAAAACCTCACTGGAGGACCAAGCGGAGATGGAGATGCGGGATACACCTTTTCCTCTGATTTAGGGGAGAGGCGGGGAAATGCTGGGCATTCACGCGTCTGAAACCAAGCCGTCGGGGACTTCAAGAGCCTGTCGCCGTCCGGAGGTGTGAATGTACAGAGGTGTCAGATCGTTTGTGAAACTCGGCGAGTCTCCACTGCTTATCATAATATGAAAATGTGTTTGTTGGATGTAAAAAAAAATACATATGTGCAAAATCAACAACCCTCTTCAGTGAACCAGCCTGCCAGATACCCACTCACATGCTGGCGCACACCGGCTCTGGATGCCAGCAGAGAGGACGTACCTCCCTGAATCCCTCCAATGTACCCCTAGGCTAACGGAGGAACGGGCCCGAAGAAACCGCGAGTTTAGCCGGGGTGGTGGTGGTGACCTCTCTCTTGCGCCACAGGGCGGGGCGTTTCTAGGAAGGAAGGCCTCGGCTGGAGGCAACGCCAAAGGCTCAGCGCGACGGACGCCTTCCCTCCCTCCCTCCAGTCTGAACCCTGGCCTTTGTCTCGCTCGTCGCTGGACCCCAAAGGAGCCCAGTCGGTCCCTCTTGGCTTCGGGGCTCACTGTCGCCCGCCCCGACTGAAACCGAGCGCTGCCTCCTTGCAGGCTTTGTGGGGGGGGGGGGAGAGGAGGAAGAGTGTTTTCCACCCGAGACTCAAAAGAAGTGCCCGCAAACACATACAAATCCCTGGTCCTCTAACCCTTCGCCACCTGGCCGGAGAAACAACAATGTACTACCCACGTCCATGGAAAGGGTTAGTGGGGGGATGGATTCTGCGCCACGACTTTCTGTTGCTGCCCTTCTCGCAGAGCCTGGGGACTTGTCCTGGCGGTGGTTGCCCCAAACCCAGCCCGATTTGCCAAGAGTACGGAGGCAGCCTTTCACTGGCATCCTTCCGTCGTTATCACGGGGAGAAATTACACGGTGATAAATTCCGAGAAAATCTAGGGACTATTTCCTCTTGGTTTCCCTCACAGATCTCTCTTTCTCTCTCTCTCTCTCCCCCCCTCCTCTTTTTTATGATTCTCCTCAGGGGCAACACCCAACCCGGCTGGACTGTGGAAAAAAAAAGAGCTCGCGAGAGACTTTTGGTTTAGCTCTGTACAGGAGACTTACCGTGTCAATTAAAGGGTGATATATGATACCTGCCCGCTCGCACCCAACTCTAAACTGAAACTAATAGGTGATTAGAAAGGAGTCTGTGAAGGCCCCCAGAACTGACGGCTGAGACAGATGGATTTCTGAAAATATGAGATCAACCTCGACGATGGGAGAAGGGAGGAATCGCCGCCAGGACTCCTGCGCGTCCTTAGTGGTCCCGGAGAGCACTTTTCAAAAGTTATAATCTCAAGTAAAAAGGGGGAGGCGGCGGGTATGATGAGGACACAGGGAGAGAAACACGTTCAAGGAAGGCCTTTACAGCCAGCAGAACGTCTGCCAAGAGTGGCCATACAGACACTGATTTCCCAAGGAGCACCCCACATTCACGCTCGCTGGCTCCAGATTAATCAAGTCGTCGCCACCGTTATTTACTTCTAGGTCCGGTTCTTCCTTCTGGCAACCGCTTCGACGTCTGATCTGTCGCTAGCCCGCTTACCCCTACTCTTTGCCTGTGCTTTAAAAAGCAGATCAATGTAACCCGGCGCTTTCCACAACCCCCGAGTGATCGCGACATTCCGCCGCCACCTCCCCCCACAAAAAGCAGAAACTCCGGGGCCAGAGTGGAGGACCGCTCTCCTCCAGACACAATAACTCTCCCCTTAGCCAGCAAAAAAGCAAAAAACAAAAACAAAAACAAAAAAACCTTGGAAGGCCACTTTGCTGGAGGGGACGGGACAGGTCTGTGCTCTCAGCTGAGGGAGAAGGAGCCTCCAGGAGGCCCACTCGTCCTCCCCCTCCTCCCCTTTTGCCCGCTTTTTTTTCTCTTGGTGGGGGTGTGGTGGGCTGTCCTTAACAGCCTGGCTATGGGTGGTGAGGAAGAAAGCCGAAATAAAACGATGTGTTTTTGCAGCTGCCTTTTAAGATGGATTTCAAAACAATTTAAGCAAGAAGAGGTTGAGAAGTGGAGGATCTTAGCGGCTCAATAATTCAGCGGAAAGAGGAAAGTGTCTATTCTGTCTAAAAGAGGGTTCTTGTTTAGTGGGCTCTCCCCAGCTGCTCCCTCGCAGCCTTGGTTCCTAGTCAAAGTGCTTATTAGGACTGTAACCCTTGAGAAGATGTACTACTTGCACACTGTGGATTTTTCTTTCAAGAGCGGCAGAGACGCGGCGCTGCATCTCATCTGTTCTCCAAAACAATTCTCTCTCAACCTACCAACTCTTAGAAGTTGTGCGCCTTATTCCTTTCAACAACAACAACAACAACACATAACTCAAGTTGTGCAGCCCAAACCTAAACATGTTTACTAGGAAGTGAATTCCACTCATTTCAGTGGGACATCTCTGCAGTCACAGGCTCATGGGCTTGCAGCCTTAATTGCAAGTGTCTATCTAGCAAAACCCAGACTACGCTTTCTTGCTTTAAAAGGGCAGCTGCCTCCAAGTAAGTTTATTGAGGGTTGCTGTGTTGCAGCGTAATTCTCACATGTGTACTCAGAAGCAAATCCCACTGAGCGTAATGGAGTGTACAGTATTCCCCTGTAAGATTGCCCAAAACTTCAGTCTTAAGCATTGTCTGATAAGTAAAATATTTCTTAAATTCGAAAGCATGCAATTTTGGCAATATATGACATTGAAATTAATAGGACTTTGAATTATCCATAAAATAACACTGTTAGCCCATTCTCGCCGTTTATCTTCTAAAAATCAGTGATTTCCCCCCCAGACAAATTCGTTCATTTTTTTGAATAGTGAGAGGTAGCCACGATTCTAGTGAAGTAAAATCTACATGGTCTTTTCAGCTCTCTGAAGAGTTAATAGCTCCAAATGTGTTGGTTTTCCTGCTTTCTCCCAAGAGTGATGGGGGGTGAAGGCGGGGAAAGAAGGACTGGGGGAGGAACGGGAAGAGGGAGACTTCTGTCTCATATTTTTTTTTAAGTATGGAAAGAAATTGAGCTGGTCTTTCCTCCGGGTTGTAATGTATGGAGCTGGAATCTTCCACCTCCCAGCAAAAGGTCAGGTGAAAGTCTCCTGCAGGTACGGCTCGCCCCTTGCCCCACAAATTGTTCCCTTCTGCCCACCCAGGTTGACTCAGAACTGTTTGTTTAGGGGGCTGAGGGGAAGGGGGGGGGAGGCGACCAACAGTTGCCACTGAGAAGTGACTGGAGGCCAACCCACCCTCCCTTGCCTTCTTTCTTTCTTTCTTTCTTTCTTTCTTTCTTTCTTTCTTTCTTTCTTTCTTTCTTTCTTTCTTTCTTTCTTTCTTTCTTTCTTTCTTTTTTTCTTTCTTTCTTTCTTTCTTTCTTTCTCTCCTAACATCTGGGTGCCACTAAACTTTCCAGGAACCCTGTCAACCTCCCCACCAACAAGCACAATATCCCGTTTGTGAAACCTGGCGGAGTAAATCCGAGTCAGGGGCAGGAAAAAAAGGAGCTACCAGCCACGCTGGGGAGGGGAGGGGAGTTTAACCACCCTCCAGCTCACGGCACAGGCAGCTTCTGCATATTTCCTTCCTAGCACCTGATCAAGCC